GACAAAAATTCATAGTTTACATTCATTGATCTTTTATAGTTCTCTCTACTTATGCCAGTTTATACTAACAATCCGTCATTTTTCTAACATATACTCAAGCAAGAACTTTTTAAAGTCAAACGATGTTTTTTTCTTCCTTTAAATATACACACTAACAAACACATAAAACTAGCTCCTCCTTCTTCTAATGATAGGGTTTCTCCTGTTAATCATTCACATGAAATCAACTTAACATTTATAACTTACAACCGTTTTATGGAGTATTGTTTTCGACATAAAAATAAACTCTGAAAACGACAAGTAATAAAACATGGTTTTCTACTCCAGATCTATAATATACTTGAATCTGAAATAATAACTGGTCACCTAAACAGACGGAACACAGACGATCATTCAATGCTGTATTCGGTTAGAATTATTTGACTTGTGTATGCGAAAACAAATAACAATATATTCATAATCTGATGAATAATTCAGTAAGATTTAAATGGATTTATAATTTCACTGTATCAAGCTGTCATAATCATAGTTTCAGCAAATAATACGAATGTTTTGATTGAAATGATTCATTAGTTAATAACAATATCATATCATGGTTGTTTTCTACGGGATACGGTTGCTAACCACATGCCCAACCCTCCTCGTTTACCCGGATAGTTTGAGACTGGCAGCAACCCTAGAAGAGCAAGAGATGATACTGGGAGATAAATATTTAAACTGAAAAGAATAGTAATTTTTATTATCATCAATCATGTAGACACTAGACTAAATTACTTTTTACCTAATATAGTTATTTTTAGATTATCCCACTAACACTATATTGGAATATTTCAGTAGTTGAGATTATGAGTCGATTGAAGCTAGACCACCATGGAAAACGTGAAAGTATTGGGTGGCCGTTTTGTCCTATTATGCTTCCAGGTTTTCCATGGTGGTCTAGCTTCAATTGATTCATGGTCTCAACTATTGAAATTACTACAACCTCTACAAAATGCCTTCTGATGTTGGAATATGGCTTAAATGTCAAATTAGTTTCCAGATGTATAAATGAGATCTAAAATAAAAAACATTTAAAACTGCTCAATAGTCAACTGTTCCGTAAATGAATTGAATTATGTATTATACCAAAATCCTATAATACAATAATGAAACACTAATAGTGAATACACTGTACATATAAATGAATCGGAAGAAATTAAAAAAAGGTCACTCATACTAAACACAATTTTATCATGATTATAGTTTACCCTAAACAACAACAAGTGAAAATTACCCTTATGTTACAACATCAAATGAATCATGTAATCTAATCATGTACTGGTTTATGTAATGTGCGAATACAATTGTACTCATATAGGTCAACTGCTTAGCATTAAATAGGTCACTCTGCCTAGGAAACTGAGTTATCACACATAAAACGCTACATTGTTTAAATATCATTAATTCAGTAACTCATACAAACTATTAGACAGTTAAACTTGATTTTTTCTATGCAATATGTGATACACATTTATTTAAAAGGTTAGATGGTTCTATAGAATGACCGGACTATTGTGAATACATTGGGTGAAAACAATTAAACCGAAATATCAAACAATTTTGTTGAGGGGACCCTAATTAAGGTCGTGTTATGTTCTTATTGAATGATTGTTGATATCTACAATGAATAGTATTATTATGTGTGGTATCCACTTACAGAATACATGACTACATATCACAACCTTAACACTTCACATACACAGGAGGTCGCCCTTAGCGGTCCTCGTAGGACAGACAAGATAGCTGAATGCTCTGAATCTCGAGCATCTGACCCATTCACAAGGGCTATTTCCAACTCTTGGCAGTTGTAATAAATAACACTCAATATTAATTATCAAAATCTTCATTGTCACATTCCTCACTAGACACAGGTAATTCACTGGTCACTTGCATATCCGAGTTCGCTTCAGCCCCTTCTTCACTGTCTTCACTGGATATAGTGACATCAAGATCTATATTTTGAATCTACCAGATGTCGCAGCATCACATAGAGACCTTCCTATTTATGTCAATCCACCAACGATCGAAGAAATCAAGATGGCCATCAGACAAATATACCAGCTGCAGCACTGAAATCAGACAGAGAAGTTACGGAAAACATGCTTTACGTTCCATTCAGGAAGATTTCGTAGGAAGAATAACTGCCACCGACATACTGGAAAGAAGGACAGCTCATCATGATATTGATGGAAGGAGTTATAAGCAAATGTGAGAACTACAGAGGTAACACACTACTGACAGTATCAGGAAGAGTTTTCTAAAGAGTATTATTGAACCAGATAAAACATTCAGCAGAAGTTCAACTTCGAGATCATCAGGCTGAAATTAGCATGGATCGGTCGTACACAGATCAAACCCCGACACTACCGATCGCTGATGGACAATCAATCGAATGGAGTTCATCACTATACATCAACCTCCTTGACTATGAGAAGGCATTTGACAGTGTGGATAGGAGAACATCATGGAATCTTCTTCGACACTATGGTGTGCCTGAGAAAATCGTCAACATCATACGGATTAATACGACGGACTACAGTGCAAAGTGGTCAGTGGAAGACAACTGGCAGACGCATTACAAGTAGTAGTGTCAATTATTATGTTAAACCCATATAAATTATTCTAGCTTCTTGATAGACCAATTTATTCATTCTTCTTCAGTCACGTTTTGACCTTGTTAATTATTCGATTATCAGAAGGGGTTTGTGGAGATTTTTAGAAATTTTCACAGATTGAAATCATGAGTCAGTTGAAGCTAGACCACTATTGAAAACCTGGGAGCACTGGACGGCCGTTTCGTCCTAGTATGGGAATCCTCAGCGGTGCGCATCTCCACAAACCCCTTCTGATAATAATCATCTGCTCACTAGTGACTGACTTCAAGAGATACTCCTGGAGTTCTAGTGGGAAGCCGTTACCAGTGGAGTACAACCAGGTCTGTTGTGAGATAGGAACTCACTGAAGACAATGGTATATGGTGGCGCAACTTCGTGGATTGGTTGAAGTTAGACATTAACACCGTTGGATGCCGGCTCAGTGGTCTAATGGTTAAGTGCTCGCGCGCGAAGCCAGTAGGTCCTGGGTTCGAGCCCCGCGTGGTGCGGGATCGTGGATGCGCACTGCTGAGGAGTCCCATACCAGGACGAAACGGCCGTCCAGTGATTCCAGGTTTTCAATGGTGGTCTAGCTTCAACTGACTCATGATTTCAATCTGTGAAAATTATTCGATTATCAAACTTGACTGAGTGTGTATGTGTACATCTTATCCTACTCATCACATGTCAGTAGCTTATTTTTGTGTGACTATAAATATTGATTAACGCCTGATTAAATGGAATTAGCTCACACGCCTTCTCCACTGCGCGTCATTTGGCTTCGCTCTCTTCTTTTCGCTTCATCACTCTCATTTCTTGTCCAGATCAGTGAGTGTACAAAATATATGTATTCTAAAATCCATCCTCGTATTTGTCTTATTTCATTCCATTATTTACCAAACCGATTTAATTCTATCAAATATATGAGGATCGGCCGTATGTATGTTACCAATTACAATCAAACATATGATATAATTGAAGTCAGATCACGGGTCACTAAAATGTGAAATCCGGAGTCAGACATGGCTGCCTACTCTCATCCTTCCTCTTTCTTCTGGTGGTTGACTGGATTATAAAGACCTGGACATTCAAGGGGAAGTACGGAATACAATGGACTGGTCAGATGCAACTGTACGACATGGGCTTCGCATATGACCTGGCCGTTTTATCCCATACACGTCAACAAAAGCAAGTCAAGACGAACAGTGTAGCTGTAGCTTCTGCATCAGTAGACTTCAACATACACAAGGAAAAAAGCGAGGTCCTCAAATACAACACAGTGAACACCAACACAATCACCTGATGGAAAAGCCCTGGAAGATGTGGGAACGTCCTCTTACCTGGATAGCATCATCGATGAACGAAGAGGATTGAAGAACGTATAGAACCCCAAACAACTGTATGCAAGCCAACATCAAAGTCAGAATCTTCAATACAAACGTCAAGACAGTTCTTTTGGAGAACTATCACAAACATCATCAAAATGGTGCAAGCTTATCTAAACAATGGTCTACGTAAGATACTCAATGTCCACCCGTTGGACATCATCAGCAACAACCTACTGTAGGAGAGAACAAACCAACTTCCAGCTGGGGAGAAAATTAGTAATGGACGCTGAAAGTGGAAAGGACAAAGACTGAGGTAATCATCAAACTGTCAATGGTTAACTCGGCTTTTGTGATTTTGTACAAAGGTGTATAGCAAGGTCTATTGAAGCTTTAGACATACAAAAATTCGAACCCACTCTGTGTTTTCAAAAACAGTTTGTTTTCACCTTAAACCTACCCTGGTAATATACAGAGTGATGAGGTTTCAAATTGTTTTCACGTTAAGATTTTCTGTATTAACCTTCTCTCCTCTTACCCTCCACTTCTAATCTAGCTGACCTTCTACGTTTTATATATAAATGTTCTAAACAAGTATATGTTGAGTGATCAGATTGTTCGTTATGCTTATTACCTCAATATATCATCACATAGTTCTGATAATTTTCGTCTTCTCATCACACTACCAAAATTTATCAAAGGGACTAATTGTTTTAAACTGACCATCAAAGTTGAAAGTCGATTTACAACACCATTCATCAAGAATTGTGAACATTTTCAGTAGTCAAAGTATGTTGCAACAGTTAATAATCTAATCACAAATTGAAATTATAATCTGGATAAAAATTCACACGCTACTTAGTGCGTTTAGTACGTGTCGCAAAATGTCACAAAATTTATCTGCTCTACATCTATTCATAGTTTATGTAGTTACATTCAGGTAATGGTTAATCTTACTAGAGATATGATTGGTTAATATACATGTGATAACTCTTTTTTAATGATTCGTTTTACTGACATTTTGTATAAAAAGCGTGTCGAACTACTACATACCTATGTTACAAAGCTTATTCATTTGAAGTAAGTTATTAATGGTCTATTGTTTAGTGATGTTGTCTGAATTCCATTGATATGTTTTGTGCATTTAGTACCATCTGAATGACATCTCCTCTTGGAACACTAGCACAGTCCTTATTTACTTGTTTGTTGGAGTAAGAGACTTAATATTAAAGACTTAAAATAGACAGATTTCTTTTCGAGGCGGATGTTATATCCAAAAAATCATCAACGATCCTTCAAACTCCATGCTGGTCTACGAATTACATCTATTATTTCATGGTTAATAGTCTATTATCTGTAATCCGAAATACAATATTCATAATATACCCACATAATGATTCAACATGCAAACCATCTGAGCTGCACCATAGTGAACGAAATGTTAATTCAATAATACAATGTATGTTTTGAAAACTGATGACCACATTACATAAATATGATTTATCAATGAATGTGAGAGCTACAATTAAACATTAAGAATTTCATAAGACGGTAAACACTGTGAAGTACAATTAATCCAAAACAACAAACGGGCTAGAATAAAATGAATTCGTCACATTTTGTAGTTTCTCATCAGCTGCTCATAACCATATCTCTATTGAAATGTAACGTTACGGTGAGATATTATGTGGAACAATCGACATCGATGCTGGAAAGAATTCGAATACCATGAGTCGATTTAAGTTAGACCACCAATGAAAACGTGAATGCATCGGACGACCATATCGTACTAGTATTGAATACCTCAGTAGTGCGCATTCACGATGCTGCACTCCGTACTTGAACCCAGTACCTTCGGTCTCTCACGCAAACGCATAACATCCAGACCACTGAGCCAGCATCCAACTATGTTAGTGTCTAGATTCAATCGATCTATGATCATGCGCAACCCTTCATTCGTTGTATGAAGTGTATAATTGTCTCACAATCGACATGAATTGTACTCCACTGATCACTTCTTTCCACTAGAGCTCTAGGAAATTCAAATCGATCTATTCACTAATGAGTACACGATTGTTATCTAAAAGCGGATTTATGAAGAATGTATCAACGTTGATTGTGAACAGTTGTGATATCATTTCTACAAGTTGAATAATAACAGAAAATGCCTTTATGATTTATTTAAGTAGAAGATACAAAGGAATTGAAAACGAGTAATCAAATCACTTATTGATTTTCACAGTTAAATTCATGAGTAGATGTAATGTAGATCACTGTCTCTAACCTGGATGCAGTAGACAAACTTTTTGTCGCAGTATGGGACTCCTCAGCAGTGCACATCCACTGAAAATATAATTAAAGCACGGACAGTAACGAAAAATAGTAATTCACGTAATACCTCACATTAATGCTACATTCCAATACATATGTGGTTGTCAGCGGCTGATGAGAAACCACAAAATATGATGAAAGCGTTTTATTCTGCTTCACTTTTTTGGCCTGAATAATTTAAGCGGATTAGTCCTTGATTAATTATAACGAACAATCCTTATGCTGGGCAAAGTCCTATGAAGTTGATGTTACTGAATGTAAATTAAAATAATACAGACAAATTCAAGTGTATCCAACTAAGAGCAGTGGAGAACATTCTTGTGAATTCATGTAAAACGTAATGTATATATTCGGTGGAATATGATTAACAATGAATTCAGGAAGTATGCTTCGTTCAAAATGGTACTCGTCAGCCGGATGTACCTGCATTCCAGCGTCGATGTTCTTTCTGCATCTTGTATCCCATATCGTTTGCTTCAAACTCCATTGCGTTATGCATTTATCTACTGAGTTCAAACAGCCGCTTATTTGTGCAACATGTATGAGTTTCAGTTCAATTTGAAATTGTTCGAATTATTCCACGGTTGAAATTTGTTCAGTCTTGATTGGCAGATAATTTAACCTGTGCGAACTGCCCCAAAATAGGCATGATTCCATAATTTCATATAGAATTGATCGAGTGTGGTTAGTGGTGGAATCCAGGATTTGTTTTTCGACCTGTTTGGTATGTTAGTACATTCAACTAAGAATGATCAAACTTCCATTAAGACATCAACAGCAGGATTATGCGATCCATTACCATCTAATTGTGTATATTGGAAACATTTAACTTGAAAAAAGGAAACATTATAAAGTGGACATAGTAAATCTATTGAATTTTCAGGTGGTAATTTCATTCGTCAATTTCTCAGGTAGATCACTAATCATTCAGAAGCGTTGAATTTGTTTATCATATAAGTTTTAAAACTTCGCTTTGTTTATGCGTTTCTATGTCATGCAATGACAAATAAATGATAGTAATCTATTCATGTGATAAACAAGTGGCTTATATGAAATCGATCATTTTAAACTAATCTGGAAACTAGTTAGTTAGACGAAACAACAGCCTAAAAATTAATTATTGACGAGTTTTATACACATTCCATGTCATCGAGTAGTATGGTGTTTGGTTTACTTACTTACTTACTTACGCCTGTTAATCCTAATGGAGCATAGGCCGCCGACCAGCGTTCTCCAACCCACTCTGTTCTGGGCCTTCTTATGGTGTTTGGTTACTAATGATAAATCATTACTGTCTTTCATTTAAAATGTACGGAACGCCAACTAAGGTCTTTTAATAAAACATAGAATTGAAGTCTCATCGTAGTGTGAAGTGAATGTAAAAAGACTTTCTCAAAATTAAAGTCATCACATAATTTAAAGTCTCATGTTACCCGCATTCATCAGCTGTTATCTTTATCCAACCATCACATGTGTTCTTCAAGTTTCTATGCACGAATCCCGTCTATGTGATCATGGGTGCGCACTGCTGACGTGTCCCATATTTGAATGAATCAGTTGTCCAATGGACCCAAGTTTGTGATGGTTGCCTACATTAGATGGACTTATGAATTCAAGTGTTAAACTCAGTAATTGGTTTAATTGCTCGTTTTCAATTCCTTTATATCTTTTACTTAAATAAATCATAAAAGCGTTTTCTGTTATTATTCAACTTTTAGAAATGATATCACAACTGGTCACAATGAACGTTGCTCTAGTTCTTTTATTCACATTCAATATGATGAAGCTTGAAGCATACACATATTTAGCATCAATAAAATTTGATGACTCTGGTAAATGTTTTATTTTTAATAAAACATCAAAATAAATGTAAAAGTTTACCGAGTTTATGAATGTATAAGTAACATCAGTAAGGTTTGACTTGATAATTTCAAATGAATTAAACATTAGGTTACTTACGCCTGTTGCCCCTCGTGGAGAAGCGAGCATAGGTCACTCACCAGAATCCGCCATCAAACTCTATTGAGTGTTGGGTAGATAGTTATGAATAAAAATAATATATTTGTAGATATCCAAATGAGGAGAAAGTTTAAGTGTTTAAATTTTCTAACGTTTCAAGACTCGACGAAAGTTAGTTCTTCAGAGAATTAATAGTACCTGATAGTACGTGTAAATGCAAAGTGTCAGTAAATATGTTGACAGGTTTTAAGGACAATCATGCTGACCATCTAGCTGCTTCTGCTAAAAATTCGAAAAAAACTTCTAAACTTCCACATTAATTCGAATTATCTTTATTATTTATATTAGCTAAACAAAGATGTCAGATAAATTGAAATAACCCCAAATTATAAATTTACTGTCTTATTAACAACAATACATTGCATCATGGAGTGGACATGTAGTTCTAAGTTATTGTTCATAAACTCACACCAACGGTAATCAGTATTTATCTTTATATATCAAAGATCATGAAAGCTGCGGTGTCTAGTACCATGTGAAACACACATAGATTAATCTAGCTTCCCAACAGAAAGCTTTATTCGTTCTGCTTGAGTCATATTTTGACCTTGTTAATTATTCGTTTATAAACCGTGACTGCTTTTATATGAGAGTATATGTGTGTAGCAACCGAAATATTAATATTTAGTCTGAACGCAGAACTAATGAAGCAAAATTTATTCTACTAAGCCAGATTACGTTCTTCTGTATCTCACATGAAGCGCTTTTGTGTGACTCGTATTAAATCGTATTAAAACGTAATCTCTGTTCAATTTATACGGTTCTCAAACGGTACAGACAGGGTTACACAATCAAGCGTTTCACTAACACAAACCAATGCACTGAGAATCAATAAAAATATTGCCAACAAGACGGGATCAGATATCGATCTGCAAGGATTCCAGCAACTTTTCAAAAATGACAGTCACAGGTTAACTCGGCTCTTGTGATGTTGTACAGAAGTGTAAAATAGCGTATACTGAGCCTTAGCCATTCGAAAATTCAAACCCCCCTTGTGCATTCAGAAAGAGTTTGTTCTCACCTTAAACCTACACTGAGAATATTAGCCTATTATCTAGAGTAATTAGCTTTCAAGTTGTTTTCACATTATTATTTTCTTTATTATACCTGTCTCCTCTCATCCTCTATTTCTAGTCTACTTGACCTTACATTTTTATACGTAGATGTTTTTGACAAGTGTATATGAGATTAGATTGTTCGAAGTGTTTCGCGCTAATATATCATTACATACATCTGACAATACTCCTTTTCTCATCACGCTACCGATATTTTTCAAAGGGACTGATTGCTTGAAATCACTAGCTCTAAGATGGTAATTATTGGTTGCTGGTTTCCAAAACGTGATATGAAGTGTAAATATTTGTCGACTGATCACCTTTTCTCCAAAATATGAACGCAAATTAATTACAAATTACTAAATGGATTGTTTTGAACGTTGTCATGGACAATGACAACGTGTTCTTGAATACGATGTATCTGCTAGCGTTCCAATCGCAGCAGTGTTCCTTAACACGTGATCACACATTTTCAACAACAAGTTAACCAATCACATACAAATTTTTTTAATCACACTCAGGAAATCTTCATCGCTAGAGGTCAGGAATCATCATAAACATGCAATAAATGTCAGCCAGACCTACGTACCCACAAATGATAGCAGAGAGGACTGCAATGATCATAACTGAAGACGGTGAGACATAAACAAAAGCAAATATAGCTCTCTTTCGAGATGATGACAAGCCCTGAGAATGCATCATTGATCTCATCAACAAGTTTCAGATGTTTCATAACCTGTGAGAAGGGTAAGAGACAATTATCAAGCGCGACTGCGTTGGTATTAATGAAGCTATAACTTCAAAATACTGGAAGGTACTGGGCCGATGTAATTCTTTTCAGTTGTAGAGTACCTGAGACAGATGTCAGCATCGTATAGAACTCCTACCAGGAATCGTGATGCAAATGATACATGGATGGCCGCTCAAAGGACCAGTACAAGACAAGTTTCCTTACTCTCATCGTTTCCCTTTATTTTCGTTGTCGACTAGATTGTGAAGACCACATCTCAAGAGGTTCGCGGGATGCAGCTTAGACGCATCTGCATAATTTTGACTTTGCAGACGACTTAGGATTGATATTATCAAATAAATAAAGTTAGTGTGGTGGAAACTCCTGAAACAGTTTGCTCTAACGTTCACGCGAGAGAAAAAGAAATTGTGAGATGTGACACAGCGGTCAGCAACCGAATCACACGTCATGGAGAAGTTCTGGGAGAGGTGAACGCTTTAACGCAACTAGGTATTATCACTGGCAAACAAGAAAGATCCGATGCAGATGTGGAGTCACGAATAGCGAAAGCGAGGTCAGAATTCCTATAGTTTAAGCATACCTGAAAATCAAAAGTCTGCCAACCATGTTCGCAATCAGAAATGTTAAAACAACTCACTTGAACAGAGATGAAGCTTGATGACGATCACAACGCTCGTCAATGAAGTATAGTTATTTATAAGCGGCTATTTGGAGAAGATACTCCAGATTTACTGGCCACATACCTACCTAACGTGTGAGAGAACAAACCAGCTGTCAATTGGGGGATTAGAGAATGACGCTGTAGGTCGATCGGACACACTGGAGAAACCAGTAATCTTGATCACGAAGTAGGCCTTAACTTGACGTTCTCAAGGCAAAATGAGAAGAGGTAAACCGCAGAATGTAGTGAGGCAGGAACCGGAGGTAGCCATCAACAGCATCAATAGGGCTCCAGAATAACTTTAGAGGAGAGTCAATTTCAAGGTTGTCAGGAGGTTCCTGACCGGTGGCCTATTTTGCACGAGAAGTAACAGGCTCAAATAAGCAAGTAAGTATTCTGCCGACAGTAAGCATTACAGTATAACCCATAAACACTATCTAAAATTACCCGTCAGGACATTTTGACAGGCTGATTCTAGAATCTCAAAACTTACATTATATTGTCCAGCCACTTGGAAAATTATCTAAAAACGTCTTTTTAGTTTCCTTTAGTGCATATAATTAAACCCAGTTCGCCTAATTTTATTCGTCCTTTATCCGAACTCTGATGTTAACTAACACGTTTCTATTGTGTATATGATAATTTCTCTATTTAGGAGAAATGTACATCAGTTTGGGCAATGTGAATATTTCATTGAGCTCAGATTATGAATTAACAATAAGTGATAGAGACTGTACAAAAACACTTTCTTTGAAGCCACCAACCGAAGAAGAGAACATTTTTAAACATGGATACCGTCCAGGATCTTCGTAAGTTTAAAACATGATACGAATTGAGTTAATAATTCACTTGTTCCTTAATCACATCAGCATCATTATCTTAGTCGGTAAACAAAAATACCACAAGGTAGATTGATTGAATTTTGATTTCATAGAACATTGTTGTATACAATCCGTATTTTATTGACCATAGCTGCTACCTTGACACAGTGGTCGGGCTTGCCAATTATGATGACCTACCCGAGCTATATTGGCTGGAACCCATGTTCCTGTAGGTTCTACGATGCCAGCAAGGTCAATTGGAGAACGGTAAGACTAAAAGCAGCAACTCAAGCTCTGAGGGCGAAGTCGTACTGCTGACTGTAGAGAGGTGTGACAGCAGTAAGGTGTTTCCTTCGGACAACCGGCATAACAGCGATGCTGCCTTCCCACAAGGAGGGATGGGGTTAGAAAAGGTCGACCCTAAAAATGTCACACCTCACCTTACCTCACGGATTTCCGTCTCCGGCGGTAAGGCTAAGGCCCTTTGAAGAACGGAGCGAACACATCAAAAACCTCCCACAAAAAACCATGTGCGACCGGCCTCAAGCAGTTGTCCCTTGGGCTCTGCGGTCACGCTCCCAGGTCTTTAAGGCAGACATCAATCCGGATTCCTTTTCAGGTTCCTCAAGAAATACCCTTCCACAGTGTGGGCAGCCGGGAAGTGACATCAACCCTCATACCCGTAACAGCACACGAGAACAAGTTGGTCATATCTAGATCATTCCTACACCTCCTACTACCTCTTTTATCTCCACGACTAACCATTCTCACATCTCTTTATCACCTCGCACGCCAGGGCGAACGATTCGAGTACGCGGAACGTTATTCTTGGTCTCCTGAAATCACGCTCTAAACTACACGAAGAAGCTTTCAACGTCCGAACATTGTATCAAATAGGACAACAGGCTTCCTCAGCTAGGACTTTAGAATCTCGCGCCATCGATGTGTGCTGCGTCTCCGAAACGCGCATACGGGATCCGAGTAGCGCCATTCATTTGACCTCACCATGTCAAGATAAAGAACCGACTCGATTTACGCTTCGTGTATCTGGAAGCCCTGATTCTGCTTCCCGTGGCCTCGCCGGCGTAGGTATGGCATTGAGTCCTAGGGCAGAACTAGCTCTCTTAGAGTGGATCCCAGTAAACAGTCGTTTGTGCGCTGTCCGACTGAACGGAACAGTAAGGATCCGAAAAGATAGGGACGCTCGTCGTTGCCTCTTCGTCGTTTTACAGAAAGCTCTCCGACCTTCTCCAAAATGCTAGGCGCTCGGATGTAGTAATAGTGGCTGGTGACTTTAACGCTCAAGTAGGTAAACTAAGTGAAACGGAAAGACACCTGGGTGGATCTTATAGTGTCGTGGCTCAAAGAACAGATAATGGCGGCCGTCAGTTGCAGCTATACTCAGATAACCGCCTGTTTCTTGCAACTACTAACTTTAAGCATAAGGAAAAACATCTTTTAACATGGCGACCGCCTAATTCGTCCCAAAATTATACCCAAATAGATCACATCGCTATCAGTCACCGATGGAGGGGCTCTGAACACAACGAAGATCGGAGTCAGCTTAAGCGCAAGCTGACAAGAAGCCTACGCAATGATCGCGAACAGTGGGGATAGCGAAAGCAAGAGAGATAGAATAGGCAGCGTCAATAGGTAATAGCAGACAACTTTTCAGACTTGTTGAGGAAACCGCTATCAGGAACTCGACTGTTTGCGAAACAATCTCAGAGAGAGATGGACATATTATACATTCTCAATCACTTATTGTGCCAGTCCATAAGAATGGATAAAAGTCCTCTTGTGACAATCACAGAGGAATCAGTTTGACTAATATAGCGACTAAAATATTAGCTTCAATAATACTTCGACGCCTAACTAAAGCTCGTGAAGGGCAGAGTAGAGAAAACCAGGTTGGTTTTCGACCTGGACGTGGTTGTATAGACCAGATATTTACATTACGTCACGTTCTAGAACACAGACACACATTCAGACGCCCCACAATCGTAGTATTTCTCGACCTTAAGGTGGCATTTGACTCTGTTGATCGTGAGGTTCTGTGGCACTGAAAGGAGTACCAAAGAAGTACATTAACCTTATAAAGGCTCTCTACTCGAACACAACTGGTTGAATGAGAGCTTATGGCGAATTGTCATCAGAATTGATTACCTCAAATGGTGTTTGTCAGGGCTGTCCACACTCTCCATTCTTGTTCAACTTTGTCGTTGACGTGCTTTTGGAGATGGCACTTTCCTCATTCAGGCGCAGGTGTATCCGCTCTTTGTGTTCTCCAAAATTCTAGTCTTCTGAATTCTTCATGTCCCTTTATTTTTTAGAACAACACATATAAGCGAACAATTGTTTTCAATTAGATCGTCATCAGGCTTTACTCTAATATACATAAATATTTATACGAAAATTTTAAACCAATCAACGCAATATGGGTCAATAATCACCATGAAATAGAATAAGTCACTACACATAATAGGTAAAAGTACAAGTTGATAGTAGGAAGACAGGTGAACTGATAATAGTGAGAATAAAGCCTGATGACGATCTAATTGAAAACAATTGTTCGCTTATATGTGTTGTTCTAATTTTCACAATAGGAATCTTTAATATCCTTTATTTTTTCTCTTTCCAAATTTATTTCGCTGGATTGTACTCTTTGAATAACATCTTCAAACCCTAATGTTTCCGATCACTGCTTATACTCTTACTACCACTACCACTATGTGATTTAACTCGACAACTGCATCTCAGTGCTAATGTGGTATGGCAACTCGAGCCAATGTACGCACGTGCGAAGTTCTACGTTGTTACTGACTGACTGACTGAGAACATATGCAAGTAAATCGCTGTTGATAGAAAATCCATAAGGTCCCACACTCTCAAACGCCTTCTCATAATCAAGGAAGTCAATGTATATTGACGAACTCCAACCAAGTGATCGTTCAACCGTGGTCTGTAGTGTCACGATTTGGTTCATGCATGACCGATACTTACGGAATCCGGTCTGTTGATCTCGAAGTTGGGCGTCTGCTGAATGTTTCATCTAGTTCAATAATACTATGTAGAAAACCTTTCCTGATACTGGCAGTAGTGTGATACTTCTGTAGTTCTCACATTTGCTTAGAACTCCTTCCATCAATATCTTGATGTGCTATCCTACTTTCCAGTGTGTCGGTGGCAGTTATTCTTCCTCCGAAATCTTCCCGAATAGAACGTGGAGCATGTTTGTAGTTACTTCTATGTCTTACTTGAGTGCTTCTTCTGGTATATTGCCAGGTCCGTCATTGGTGGAGTTACATCAGTAGGAAGGTCTTTGTGTGGTGCTTTGATGTCCGGCGGATTCAGGGGAGCCGGTCTATTGAAAATTTCTTCAGTGTTCTATCCACCTGTTCCTCTGTTCCTCAATCTCAGTGATTGACTTGCCTTCTTTGTTCTTGACTGGTCGCTCTGGTTTACTATTCATCACTTCTTCCACACTGATCCCGATGCTCCAAACTGACTGTATCAATGAAATAATCTAGCTTCAAGTTCGAGCTAGGAGCTCGTTTACCTGAATTTAGTCGTCTGTTACAGGTATGGTTTACATGTCACCCATTAGCACATTGACGTTCAGTTCTCTTCGCCTTGAGTTTATAATCTCGCTTTCTTGTTGTTGTTGTTCTTCTTCTTCTTCGTGAATTTATGCTGTCGAATGAAGTTCGAATCTTCCTTGCGAACATTGGCTCAGCAGGGGAGACACCCTTATGCGAGGCTGGATTCAGGGTTATTACTGGTGAATTTCTCGGTCGCGTCCTCCTTTCCTGATAATTTTGAAAACCATTGGAAAATTTCTATCTCCATTTGTGTATCATATGAATGAGGATAAGAAGATACTTGGTTGCAAATAAGATTGGATGACTGATCGAGCATTTTTGAATCAGGATTACAAATAAAATTAAATGGATAATCGAACATTTTTGATTTTGTGATGTAGTCAAGACCCAATAGATTGAAGGATTAATCAGTAACACAGCATATGGATTTGGTTGTTGAGATATTGGATTTGACTGTAAATTTAATAATTTCAGAAATTTTGATTACGATACCCGGTACATTGTTTGTGCAATCGTTATTAAGATGAATGCTTGACCGACCAAGTTCGTTTCTAGGTTTTGCGGGAAATCCAAGTTACATCGGATGCAGTGTCCAATTGTAAAGTGATAATACAGTCATTACGATAAATCGATAAATACTTGCGTTAGCATTAGGGGTTAGACTTTGACAATACATGAACACAATCAATCGTTTCTGGCATTCGATGATGGGATGAGGGCTTGCTGCGTTTGCAAAATTTCCTTATTTTGAGCATTTATGTTCATTGCATGGGCAGAAATGGGAGAAATGCAATGCACCACACTTCAAACAAATAGCGGAGGGCCATGTAGAGCAACGTGAATTCAAGTCATGGACATCATACATTCAATTCGGGCGAGGAACATTTTGCGAATCATGCTTTGCAACATTAATCGTGCGATCTGGATGAGAAATTTTCATCAAATCAAATTTATTTGGATTTGGACGTTCGATCATTTTAGTATCAACATGATAACATTCATTTGTGATAACGTTCGACGTTATATTGGGATTGGACTCAACTCTGCCTAGAATTCTATTACGAATTTTTGAATCCGGCATTGATTTCAACCATCATACAAAGATAAGGCACTTGAATTGTTCGTCAGAAAGTGAACACAAATTAAAACTCGCATTGTTCATTAACAAATGCTGCATATTAAACCAAATCATCTTCAAGTATTTTAACAGGTCTGATTGTCGTCGATTGACCTTTTGCTACTTCTGAATGAATCTCCATATCAGTCACAATGATTGTTCAACATATTTCATTATTTTCACACACTATCCTTCTGTTTTTCTCCGTGAATTATGCTTTGAATAGAATGATTACTTTGATTACATACTCTGTCAAAATATACAGGCACTAGATATAATAGTCTAAATCATTTTAATCATACGAGTGAGAATCTACAAATCGTTTTATGATACATAAGGCTCTATGATAGTAAAATAATGGATCATTTTTCGAAAGTCCGTTTCACTATATGGTCAGTCGCAACGTATAACCTGTACGTATGTACACCCCATTGGCACAAGAAGATTATGTTGTCAGGCCGAATCCCAGAATAGTAGAGATAGTGAAAGTATTAGTATTAATAGGAAAGATTAGGCACCTAAGATACGACTCCAAAAGAAAATACCAATTAATTAAATAAAACAAAAAACAAGTTATTAGAAACTGATTATCTCAGAATTTGAAGAAACACTATGAGTGGGTGCACATGCTCAATTGTAAACGATTTTCATCCATGTCACTCAAAGTCCCTTACCATTGGTTGCGATAACCACGTGGAGCTTAATCAGTTAGTTTACATCTATTAATATGACTAAGTCAGACCCTGGATTCCTTCCAGCCTACGCTTACACCAGAAAACATCCCTGATCGAGATAGGCGGCGGTTGGGCATACGTAACACATGTCCAACCACTACAGTTGATGACGATTTACTGGCTCACCAATCGATTTCCCATCTTTACCTAGTACTCCATTCCTAACCCGGAGATTGTCTACTCTGTGGTCAAAATATACACAAGCAATGCTTAGTAGAGATATCAGAAACCTACGAATATCCCCTACTCTTAAGGGCCACGTTTCAGCACATAATTATCAGATGAATAAAAACTACATTATTGATGAAAAAAACAATGCTTTGATGTATAAACCTCAGATCGCTACGGCGAATATCACTCCAAACTTTTGTTTTCTCATATCATTTTAGCTTATGCAAAAGCTGGTTCCTTCTGAAACGACCTCACAAAAAGAGAAGAACTGAGTGTTTGTTATCTGATTTACTCTTTTAATCAGAATTTCCATAATAAACGCTTTTTAATAAATTGTAGTGTTTAGCACTATTTGCTTTGCTTTCGAATTTTCTTGGTCATTAGTTTTGATTCGAAAAGGGGTGTTTAACAGATGTGATTAAGTGACTGTTGGCTAAAACGAATCTCTGTTCTGACCAGATTTGTTCGTGTAGTATGTGTGTTCTAGAGGTCTCGCCATCCGACTTCAGTGGCGTAACAATAGGAGTGTGTCCTATCTTACCACATTTAAAACATTTAGCATTGTGAAATGCACATGAATTAAGAGAATGAAGTTTGTCACAGGATAAACATTTACCAAACTTGATCACACCTTTGTAATTTACTTTGTAATTCCTTGTTGGAACACCCTTCATATTTACACGAGAATAGGAATTCTTATTAAACGAACGCAAGTTTGATTGACCCTGAGATTGTACTCCATCCTGTCTGGAAGCTTTCTAGTAATGTTTGAATGTCTTCATCTTACTGTTAATTATAACTTTTGACTTGATCATAAATATTCTTTAGTTTCCAATCGGTAATTGTTTTGGTGTAAATTTATTGATACAGTCATTTGCAACCTTAGAAACTTCAGTAAATAGTGTTTTATTTCATAAGACATATTGTAGATAATTGTTATCAAGACTGTAAGGGACCCAAGACAACATTTCTTCAATAATACTAAATAGTTTCTATGATTTCATGGTGAATTTCATGAAGATGCATATGATGAAATTGGATAGTAATATCTAGTTATGTTATGATTCTTATTTCACTAGCCTCATTTGAAGACAATTCTTAGTGGCTCGAGATCTGACTCTAATTAGATTGTATGGATGATTGTTATTGAAATATACATGTCGGCTATCCTCGTAAATAATTATCGACTTATTATATGTGAAAATTATATTTGAAATAATCTCCGGGATTGAAATTTAAATAATTTCAACGTTTCGTCCAGCGAACTTGCCTGGACTTCTTCAGGGTAGAACAATCAAAATCAAAATCATCAAAGAAATATATAGCTGGACGAAACGTTGGAATTATCTAAATTTCAATCTCAGATAATTTCAAATATAATTTTCACATATAGTGACTTTTCTATACTCGGCGCCCAATTTTTGTCAAACTATTCGTTCTAATCTTGACGAATATTCGTATAAATTATTGACTTAATCCGCGTCAGTGGATAACGGAATGAAGTAAGCCAAATACGAGTAAGGTTTTCGAATACGTATATTTTATACAATCATTGATCCAAGCAGACAATTAAAAGAACAAAGCGAAACCAAATGATGCGCAGCGAATGGAGCGAAGCAAAATGATCCGCGATGGACAAGCCGTGTGAGCCAACTCTATTTAATCAAGCGCTAATTGATATTTATAGTCACACAAAAATAAGCTACTGACATACGATGAGTAGGATAAGATGTGCACACACATACACTCAGTCAAGTTTGATAATCGAATAATTAACAAGGTCAAAACGTGACTCAAGAAGAATGAATAAATTGGCCTTTCCAGAAGCTAGAATAAGTTAATATGGGTTTAACATAGTAACCGACACTATGACTTTCGAAAGTGATTATAACCACATCGACATTTCATTACTGAATTTATAAAAACGAATAATCTAATGGTCGAACAAACCAAAAAATCAAACATCTGAATTCCAATATTAACTCAGAAACTCAAGTATTGTGAACATCGTTCAAACATGTGGGAACTGCTTAAAGAGATTACAGATGAGAAACACATTAGTGCCGAGACATTAAAATAATGACATTGACGACAGGTAAGAAACCATTCTTCCACAAGCTCCAATCCAACCAAGATACAGATAACTGTGTAATACGGAACAGAGTGGCTAAGGCAATGGAGATGACATTTTATCCAACTAACCGCCGTCTATTAGTTTCCACACGGCTTATGATCGTTTCTCGACTAAAGAATAGGTTACTTGATTTTGTCACATCCATGTGATGAGAAGACGAAGATTGTCAGAATTATGTGATGATATATTAGCGCAATATATTTCGAACAATCTGATCACACATAATATACTTGGTAAAAACATCTGTGTATAAAAATGAAAGTCCAACTAGACTAGAAATGGAGGCAAAGAGAAGAAAAGGATAATGATAAAAGTAATAATAATAATGTGTACACAATTTAAACACAGAGGGGTTTTGAATTTTCGTATGGCTAAGGCTTCAATAAACCTTAGTATACACTATTTTACGCTTTTGTACAACACCACAAAAGCCGAGTTAAGATCAATCTTATGGCCTATTTCGATTACATGTTTAGCAATAGAGGATGATGGATGTTTATCCTCTACTCTTATTGGATCACTTGATTCTATTTGTCTCAGCAATCATTTTCGTATATGTTCACCCACCCTAATATTGAGATCACGATTGCTGCTCCCTATGTATGTGTGACCATACAGACATTTAAATTAGTAAACACAATGGGATGTGATACAATCGTTTTCATGTCTTTTAGGTTTTGGATGAAGCATGCTGTACGTTTTGCTGATGATTGATTTAAGCCTTTGTTTCAATAGAAGGCTATTTGAATAATCTCTGAGTGGTAAGGTGATATATACAGGCTTTTTTACTGCTAATGCTATAGTTGGTCTCACTACATCATGAACGTTCCATCTATTTATGTTTTGTTTAACAACCTAAAATCATCATCAAGCGTCATTTGTGCAAATACGACCTTATCAAACCCCGTTTGTATTGTACAGGGCAATAACTGTAATAACTAAACTACTGGCCTGTTCATGTTAATTTCCTAAAAATAGATCATTTGATTGAGCCATCTCCTCGTCTACTTAGAAGTATATCTAGGAAGGGAAGCTGGTCGTTCTTTTCCTCTTCACATGAGATACTGATGTGGCTTTGAAGAGTGTTAAGTTTATTCAATAAATAGTTCATATTATCTTTTCTTTCACAGAAAACTAAGATATCGTCCATATATCTCTTATGCAGTGACATGTTTTCGATTAGGTCTTCAGCTAAATTTTCAATATGTGCCATCAACACATCTGCTAATAATAGTCCTAACGAACTACCCATAGCAACCCCATCGATCTGACAAAAGTATTCATCTTTGGACTTTGTCAGTACATAATAGTAGTAAATCTTTAAGAATTTTTGATGAAACAGGTCATTTAAGGTTTCTCAAAGATATGTACTCACATAATATATAAAGGTACATTTGTGAACCAGGAATTTACGTCCATTGAACACATTGTTTCTCTCTCTCTTGATATCAATATCACATATATTATTATTTCCCATATCTTTTGAGTGTATATTTTCTTTCACTTCCTTTCTCAAATATTAGCGTCACTGTTTAATCACTCAAACAATTGTTATTACGTAATTTTGATAGTTTTTTTTCATAAATGTTTTTCCCTTGTCGATTTTCCCATTTTCCTTAATCTACTACCATTTAAGAAACATTGATTCAACCTGTTATTATCACTATCACAGCTAGTACACCTAAGATTAGATGGTGGTTAGAGGTAGTCGGCAGGAAACCCTGAACTCGGGTTTCATGCTATTTGGCACTCGTCAACAAGCTGTACCTGCAACATGGTCGATAGCATTCGATTTGTTTTAAATAAGGACATGACACACATGACATTCATCACCACCCAGTGATCAATCAATGGTGAGCTAGTACACCTGTCATTCAACTAGCGATGGACACATTTTCATTTATTACTTTTGTTTATATAATCTATTGTGTAGTTATCATTGAATTGCAAATCACATTGACGTGTTTAATCTTTTCATATTTTCACACAAACGGTCAGTCAGCTACAACATAGGACCAGGCACATATATACATCGGTCCAAGTTGCCATACCTCATTAAATAAGAAAGATCAGTGAAGAGTTCTCTTTTCGGTGAATTCATTTTCAAAGCTGTACAATCGCAAATATATATACTTATTTTTACAGGATGATAATAATACTGATAATAAACTTCTGTTATACATGGTGACTGTGAGGTTAAATAAACTAAGGTATTAAAATAAAAAATTTTAAAACACGGAAAGTTTAGTAATCGTTTGATTGTTAATGGCTTAAGTTGTGGTGGTCGGTATTCGATATAATCCTTAAACTTCGTATACAGCTCGTCTTGATAACCGTTCTATATAACGTCCCAATGGTATATTAATCAGAAGGCAAATACGGAGTGTTGATTACGTTTATTGCGAGACCATACACATATATCCAAATGTACAGATGCGTTAAACAAGCATAGAAGGGTTGTGCTGAAAGGCGAGCAAGCGAGCGAGAGCCAGAGCGAGACGAGAGTGCGCGTGTGTTGAATATGAATAACATGGACATATATATACCATGTGAAATGAATGAGTAATCGAATCAAATAAGCAGTTAGTAGTAAGACTAGCAGAGTGGATAAATGAGTAGGCGCTAAGCCATGTTCAAGCATATGTATTTCATACAAGTACAAAATAATAAGGGTACAATAAGTTGTTATAGTGCGGATGACTTTGTCCGCTAAATGAGTTAGCAAAAGGGCTTAACTGAGTTAAATGAGAATAAACTCAATTGCACGTGAGTCACTATAAGGTATTCATCAAAAGATAGATAGGGAAATTATCATTGGGAAAGGATGGCTCAGCATGATGAGATAAAATGTCGAAATAGAGATGCACTGTAATCGGAATGATCGTGGAAATAAAAACAAACCAGTTGGGGGTAGAAGATTTAAGGGGAAGATGGAAATTGAAGCAGATGGCTGTAAAGGAGCAAGAGTATGAAAAAGAAAGAAAGAGTTTACTACATTAATACCATGGTAGAAGAATAGGTTGTACCAAATTCTTTTGCACACACAATTCTGGTTTTTCCAGATGTATGGATATTGCTTCGGCAATGCAAAGAAGATGCAGACTTATTGTCTTAGGAATACTTCTACTTACCTTGTAGACGACCTTGAATGCAGAGTCTATCTTGACTGAATGACCTGTGTTCACAAGGTGTTCGATTATAGAACTTCTTATTGGGCCGTTGCCTC